AAATTTTATTGTAAAATCTATATAATAAAAGCCTAAGCGACGGTTACGGCAGAATGACCAGAATGACCGGTCACTATGATGCACACTGACCACCAGGGGGCAGATGCTCAATGCAGGAGCTTCCCCCTGGTGGTCAGTGAGCTGCCACAGGGGGAGTGCCGCTCATGGCTAGCGAGTGCAGCAGTGGTGGTGGGAGCCGCTCCCGCCTTCGTGGCAGTACTCTCCTTCCTCCACTGCAGCGCTAAGGAGCAGTGAGCAGGCAGGCGGTAAGGAGTGAGGGGTCCCCCAAGGGGTCCTGGACTGCGAGAGGGTACAGGCCGGGCTGAGGGACTCTCCCACCCCCCAGTGCATGAATTTCGTGTGCCAGGCCTCTAGTAAGTAAATAAATGCCTGCAGCTGTGTTCCAATAAAACTTTATTTATGAACACTGAAATAAAAATTTTATACAATTTTCATGTCACAAAATAGTCTTCTTTTGTTGTATTTTTAAGCACTTTAAATTGTAAAAACGACTCTTAACTCAAGGGTCATCTAAAAAAATAGATGGTGGACCATCTGTTCTAGCTTAATGCATATCTTCCCAGGCTTCCAGCATGTATGTTGTGTGTGGAGGGTTGGGGTAAAAAAGCTAATTTTTCACATATTCAAGAATATACTCTTCCTTATTTAAAAAAAGCCTTTTATATATTGTTTTAAGTATGCAGAGTTTTGCTTGACTATTTAGCAGTTTAAGTCCTCCATTAGGAAAATGGAGAATTTTTTTAACACTCTTGGTTTTTATCAAATAACTAAAATATAAATGGGGAGTAACCAATGGATTTATCTCTAAGCCTAAACAAAACAAACAAACAAAAGCCCGTGAAAGAGAAAGAACTCTTGAATAATGAAGTAAGCTCTTGGAGAAGCTATTTCCAACTGTCCTACTCTGGTTGGGTTCCCAAATGGGTAACATTTGATTATAGAGTCACAGTACCTCCAAGTAGCAAGGGACACAAGGGAGTAGTAGAAGTGAAACATTGCTCTCATTTATTTAGTAGCCACCTTGTAAATAAATACCAGTGCATCAGAGCTCCATTGCTAAAAATAGCAGTCGTGGGGCTGGAAGACTTTTATTATAAGGAGGAGTAAACACAGGGGTGGAAATAGAGCAGATAATTAGTTTATATAATAGAGAAGATTTCTTTTTATTTACAAATAATACCCTCGATTACAACTTGTCTGGTAGGTTCTGGGTCTTCATATAAAATCATAGAAAAAAAAATTAAATGGATGGGGACAGGACCGCAAAACAGATCCAAGTATTTTTTTCCCCGGTGCCCTCCTGGCTTTGTCACTTCTCTCTCCCTCTCAGATTCATTTCACAGCCCTCTTCTATTCAGTTTACGTTGAGCATCTTATCCCTCCTTCCTCAACTCCCTGGCGTCTTCTCCTTCTCCATCCCGTTTTATAGCTTTTGGAAATCTCCCTTTCTTTTTGCTCTTCCCCTTGTGGTATCTACTAAAACCTTCAGAGAATCGCTGTATGTTCTGAAACTTCTGTGGGTTTCTAAGTGACGCTGAGCATGCTCAGTGGCTAGGGCAGGTTTTGTTGCCAGCAGCTTGCCTGATTCGACCTCTCCAAAAATAGACATTTAACTCGCTGAACTCCAGTTTAAGGATGAAATTCATTTTGCTCTCTCCTCGTTTTAAAGGTTCAAAGGGAAGCAGCGAGGATTCCACGGTCCCACCGCCCTCACAGCCAATGAGGGGTCGGTGAGGGAGGAGCTTGGGGCGGCTCGTTGCGGCTTGAGCTTCTGAGCGAATCCTCCCCAGGAGATGCAGTGGAGACTGAGCTCCGCTTCGTCTGTCACAGCAGAACAAAACTAAAACAAAACCAAAAAAAAAAAAAAACAGAAGAGGAGAAACGCTGCAGAGTATGGAACGCTGTAGCACTTTCTGAAATACTTGCTGGGGATCCCCGTGGAGCATGATCTTTTAAAACTATCCTTTTTGAAGCTGGTTTGGGTAACTGGGAAAATGATACACATGCTAAATGCAGCAGCTGATCGAGTGAAATGGACCAGGTCGGGTGCTGCTAAAAGGGCCGCCTGCCTGGTGGCTGCGGCATATGCTGTGAAAACCCTCTACCCCATCATTAGCAAGCATTTAAAGCAAACTGGCCACGGGAAGGAAAAAGAAGCTCGCGGGGCTGCAGAGAACAGAGAAACACTGCATTGCACCGAGATTCCTGGTAAAAAACCTTCGCCCGGAGTGAATGCAGATTTTTTCAAACAGCTCCTAGAACTTCGGAAGATCCTCTTTCCAAAACTTGTGACCACGGAGACAGGGTGGCTCTGCCTCCACTCGGTGGCTCTCATCTCGAGAACCTTTCTGTCTATCTATGTGGCTGGTCTGGATGGGAAAATCGTGAAAAGCATTGTGGAAAAGAAGCCTCGGACTTTCATCATCAAACTGATCAAGTGGCTTCTGATTGCCATCCCTGCCACCTTTGTCAACAGTGCCATAAGGTACCTGGAATGCAAATTGGCTTTGGCCTTCAGAACTCGCTTGGTAGACCATGCCTATGAAACCTATTTTACGAATCAGACTTATTATAAAGTGATCAATATGGATGGGAGGCTGGCAAACCCTGACCAGTCTCTTACTGAAGATATTATGATGTTCTCCCAGTCTGTGGCTCACTTGTATTCCAATCTGACCAAACCTATTTTAGATGTAATTCTGACCTCCTACACCCTCATCCAGACTGCTACATCCAGAGGTGCGAGCCCAATTGGACCCACTCTATTAGCAGGACTGGTGGTATATGCCACTGCTAAAGTGTTGAAAGCCTGCTCTCCCAAGTTTGGTAAATTGGTGGCCGAAGAAGCGCATAGAAAAGGCTATTTACGGTATGTGCACTCCAGAATTATAGCCAATGTTGAAGAAATTGCGTTTTACCGAGGACATAAGGTAAGAGAAATTAAGGTGATGGGTGAAATGTGAGCATGTTCAAGCGGCCACTTCAGTGCTAGATACCATCTGTTGTACTATTATTGATGGACCCACTTCTTTAGCGTTTTAGATTCCTGTAACACCTTAAACCTTCATTAAAATACATGCTTCATTACCCTGTTTAATGACAAGCTGTTAAAAAAATTATAGAGGGTAAACTTTTCTGAAGTTTCATGAGAATACAATATTCAGCACTGTAGAAAATAATCTACTTCACCCCTCTTACTCAACTGTGCTCAGAATTATCTCTAAAGCATTTTCTTAAAACTCAAATCCCTAACTTAGTTGGTGGTTCTACAGAATTAGAAGAAAATATATGTTTGGCAACTATTGAGATGGAAATTTAGGGTGGTATTTTATTGTTGTTGTTTTTCAAGGGAGGGAAACATGTTTTCTTATGAAAAACAAGTTTGACAGTTTTGCATTCCTGGTCAATGATGGACTGTCCTAAGTCTTAAGAAATTTAGGAGAGTGGGGCTCACCAATGCTTTTCCATTACTCTTAGTACCACATTTTGACACAAATAAAAAGAGACAGTGGAATGAAGTTTTGTCTAACTTTGATAGAAAAACTAAGATTAGAAATGAGGAGGAGGAAAGAGTTCCAGAGTGTTATTTTAAATATTGAAGATTTTCAACCTTAAGCAGATCCCTAAAATAGTTAGCCTAGTTACCTAAAATTGCAGTGCATGACAGTAACTTCATAATATTAAATATGGCAGAAATTTTAAGGTGATGCATCTGCAGTCCTAATCCAAATGTCTGGCAAATAAAATATTAAGGTATTCTAAAGTTGAAAATGGTATTTTAATTACGAGGCAGAATTATTTAATTTTTAAAGCATCATCAATTATCAAAAATTTTTTTATAGCAGTACCAATCTGAAGAAGAAACTTTAAAGCAAATTTAAAACTTCTACTCCCACTTGAAAATTGTCCTCATATGTTGTATTAATCATATTGATGTGTCAGTCTTCTTGAATCATTGAACTTAGTGATGTAAATTATATCATGCTGTAGGCTTCTTGAATTTAAGACAAAGTCCAATAAATTGAGTTAGTTCAAAATTGGAGTCTAATTACACATATATGTATCATATACTTATTTTCAGATAGTTTTGGTATAATCAAGAAGGATAAGATTCTAGCATTGTTTACTCATGTCTTGCAGAATATTTGGTTTCAACATCTCATACATATAATTTTAAAATCATGCTTATAAATCACTTATATATATTTTACACTTACATATTTTATACTTAGCATTATATTTACTGAGTATTATTTTTTAATGTTACAGGTATGATAAATCTAAACAATAATGACTAAATCTGATATTAATCTGTATTTATTGGTTGTTAGAATCATAGATAATATAATACTAAATAAAGCAAGCTAATATGTAACTTATCTTTAAAGTCCTCAAGCATACAATATTTATTTTGATAGCTCATGCTAAGTTAATTCTTAACTCTTTTTCTCTCTATAGGTAGAAATGAAACAACTCCAGAAAAGTTACAAAGCTTTAGCAGATCAGATGAACCTCATTTTATCGAAACGTTTGTGGTACATTATGATAGAGCAGTTCTTGATGAAGTATGTTTGGAGCGGCAGTGGACTAATTATGGTGGCTGTACCTATTATCACTGCAACTGGCTTTGCAGATGGTGGTAATGGCATTTATGCTTAATCTCAAATATATGCTTAAGGTTATTTCTCTTGAAAGTATTACTGCTTGTTCTGTGTGAGTGAAACTGTATGTAGCCATTGTTCTATAGTCATTAATAGTCAGAAACAATGGAAGACTTTGCAATGTCCAAAGATAAGACCAGCAATATGAAAAAAAAGGAGATAAGTTGCTCAAAAGAACTTTCCAGTTCTGAAATATTTCAGAGATCTCTGATGCAGTGTTTCTGGGAGTTGAACTTGAGCAATTTTAATTATACTGCCTTATATAAAATAATTCTCTAGTTTAACATTTAAACTCAAAACAAAGTACCTTCAAAAAGAGTGTAAGTTTTCTCATTGCCAACTTCAGTTGTGCACGTCCAATGCATTAAATTTATAAATGTTCTATAACTGGGTCTGCTCTAATTTTATTTAAAAAGTTAGACAACAAGGAATACTTTTTCACAAAGTGCTTCATGCCATGGTACAAAGTCTGCTCTACTTGTAGGTAACATAGATAACCTCCTATGTAGCATGATTTGGTGGTATTGTGGGGGGAAAGGTTTACAAATAGCAAGTGTCTAATTCTAGCCTATCACCATCTCAGTGGTTTTTGTCAATATTGTCATCCTTTGGAATAACAAAGATAAGGGCAAAAGGGGCATTAAAATGTTGTGTCTTACTTGATTGAGGTGGGAGTTTGGATCTTAATTGGCAGGGAAATAGGGGAATTAAAATAAAGAAGCAGCATTTCCTGGTCTTTCTGAAAAATACAATATACACCCTCCTGTCTGAAAACCACTTGACCGAATTGGCCTTCGAGTTGAAGAAGCTAGACAAAAGCCTGGGCCTTTCTCATCTCTTGGCCTTCCCTCTATTTGCCCTTATATGTGTTAGTCATATTAACCAAACTCCCCAAACCTCCGTTTCCTCATCTATAAAATGATCATCAGAAAGGCTACTTCGGAGGGCTGCTGTGAGGATTTAATGGAGTCATGTTTTGAAAGTACAGCGCATGCTCTGGATGTTCTCGATACAGGGTGACATTTACTATGTAAAAAACAAAAGGCAACACTAAAAATAATGTAAGGGAATTCACATTATTTTGTGGTTATTTTTGGTGTAGTTATTTGTTTTAAGGCATCTAATTAAAAACAAGTAAAAAATTACCACATGCTTTTACACTTTAACTGTACCTAAATACTTTAACCAATTCTTATAAAAACACTTGTCAAATTTGAGTCATTCTTAACCTACAATTGTTCATTTTAGTAATTAGGATTTGTCAAACCTTTGAGAAATGCTATGCATATACAACATTCAATACATATACTCCACAATTCAACAGTAGACACTGTGTTTAGACCACTGGAAAACGGAATTTTATCTGTTTTTATATTTTCAAAATGTCATTTAAAAAGCTTATATTGAAAAAGTCATTGCTATTAAGAGTATTCTTGGACTAAATATTTTCATAATTAAATAAAAAATAAATTGCTTTTTCAAGCGTATTAACGAAAAAAAGACACTCCAAAACCTATGTTCTTAAGATCAGTTTTATTAAGAAATTTGACAAAATTGTCAGATATTCATGGTATATTGAATCTTTTATATTAAAAGATTCTCTCTAAGTATATGGATATTTTTAAAGTTTCATATATAATGTATACTAACAGCAGCCCCAATTATAAGATTATGGGGTAGTTCTGTTAGTCCTTGGAAGCACTGGTCTTGTTAGAAAACCCTGGAGTAAACATAGAACAGGGAAAATGCAGCTATTAATGGTGACAAATTAACCCCACAGAGACCACTAAGACATAAACAATGTATGCAAAGAATATAACAATCTTACTTCTGTAGGTGATGCAATAAGATGTTCAAAATACATTCTATGAATCCTGAAAACACCATGTTAATTTAAAGAAACAGCATTAAAATTTTAGATGGGAATAATAACATTGATGCAAATGAAACTGATTCTTAAAACTTCTTTTCAAAAGAAAATGTTATACAAAGAAAAACAATATAAGAATTTCATAGAAGAAATTCATAGGAGCTATAATCTCAATGAATTCCTATGACAAGATTATTATGAGAGTATGCCTCAATATCTTCTGTAATTTCTAAGGTTACTATATTTATGCTTATAATGTTTACATATATGTGTTTACTAAATATATTTGACCAATAATGACTTAACACATGAAAATTTTATCATTTTACTCAGACAAAATTATTTATTTTTAAGATACTGACATATCTTTGAGGCTTTAGGTCTTAGAATTGCATACCAGATAGTCTAATCTAGTCTTCAATCTCAATTTACTCTTATGCCCTGAGTTGTCCCTTATGTTAGAGAGGAATTAAGTGTATGACACTGTATATATATGAAATGGGTGAGTGAGAGGAATGGCAAAGAGAACAGGAAGATAGAGGAAAGAAGCAGGTCACTTTAAATCTAGACTCTGCTGTTTATTAGTATTCATCCTTCAGAAAATGACAAAACTTCATATGCTTCAGTTTTCCTATCTTAACTGTAAAGATGATAATATATCGTTTAAAGAATTATATGAAATTACATACATTGTATTAATGTGCTTTTACACAGTCCTTGGCAAGTAGTAAGAACTTTGGTGGAAGCAATTGTTAATATTTATTTATATTCTTACCATGTAGGCTCTGGAGTCTAGAATCTGGCTCTTTTGTTTATTAGGCTATATCTAAAGACAAATCGTTTCATCTTTTTGTGCTTTCATTTCCTCATTTTCAAAATGGGGGAAATTTTAGGGTAGTTAGGAGGATTAAAGAAGGTCACATATATAAAACTTGTAACAATACCTGCCCCATAGGAAGTGCTCAATAGATATTTGCTGGTATGATTATTATTGTTAAAGAGCAAGGCATTTGCAAGTGATTAGGACATCAGAGTGACATGCAGATAGGAGGAAGAACCTACATAACATTTGTGGGGAGAGGAGAAAAGAAAAATAGATCTATAGTACAACTTTAAGAGAAATCTTATGGTTAAGGGTAGGATCATGTTAATATTCATGTTCATGTTACAAAATTGCATATGGAATTGTGCCACCTTCACATCAGAAGAGGACCTTAAAGGTCATTGAATCTGGAGCCTGGTAGTTACCCCAGTCACACAGACGGTAGAAGCGTTAAGGCTAGAAAACATTATGTAACTCCTAGAGCTTTGCTTTTTTTCCCTTGATCATGTTGCCTCTATCTGAGCTATTTGGGAACTTGATGTATAAGGAACTTCACTTAGTTTGAGACCAACTAATCATGGTGCCAACTAGTTGAAAAAGCATTGAAATAGTGTTATATCGTTTCTATTATATATTTTTAGAGGACATTGGCCCGTCGTTTGCTTTGTAGTAAGAGAAAAACTGAAATTACATGAAAGAAAAAATAGTTACCTAGGAGCTATAATCTCAAATTTTTAACATTATAAACCATTTTTGATATCATATCAAAAGCAGTTCTGGGTAAGGCCAGAGAAAGCTACCTATAGGTCCCTCCTGCCAGACATTATCCCAGACACCTTCACAAGCCGGGAAGAAAGCATCTAAGGCACCAGCACTGCCAATATTACCCGCATAGTTTATATCAGGGTTTACTCTCTATATTGTACAATTATATGGGTTTGGAAAAATAGATAATGATACAACCTTAGCTTTTTTCATCCTTTCTTGCCTCTTCAGTGAAATAACAAAATGTGTCCATGGCTGCATACATACTTCTTATTAGCAGAGCTGAACAGTGTCAGTAAAATAAGCAGATGTAATATTAACCATTAAATCCTTAAATGAGGAACTTTTGATAAAATATTTAAAATATTTGGTAGGACAATAAGTATTTGGTGAGTGCTTTAGGTCATGAGTTTATATCTCTGACACTAAGGAATCTGGCCCTAGAGAGTTTATGCAGTTGACCGTTGTGTGCTTGATGAAATAGTACTGGCACTGCTTTCACAGTGCCTACCAAAGAACAACCAGTAGAATAAAAGTGAAATGAAATCTGTCCAGAGCTATTGGTAGTTTTGTTGCTGAAAACATGAAGAAAACCCAATACACATTAACCTGCCAAAGCAACATGGGAGGTACCATGCCATATCAAACACAAGTCTGTCTGTGCTAGTTTCTTAACAGAGGTTGTCAGTGATAGCTACTATTCAAACCCCTTTTAACCCATATTCATAAAAATATTATAGTTATTTTCAATCATCAGCCAGATTCTTTGTGAGCCAATACTTTATTCTTAGTGCTTTAACTGATCCAGCATTTCGCTATTTTTGGTAGCTTGCTGAGAATCCCTTGGTAATTTTTTTGTGTGACTTATCTAATTTTTTTTCACACATTTAAATGTGTTTAAGAGTATCTACACACTGTCCCTAGTCTATTTATCTAATATCTTTCACTCTTCAATTATACCAGTGCTCAAAGCTTTCCTTTTTACATTCTTCAAGGAAACTAACGTCAAGGGAAATAATGATAGTTCTTTAGAGCAGTGTTTAACAGAATAGACCAAATTAGATTCTCATAAAAGGTCCCCGTGAGCTCATGGTGATTCTGATACTCAAATGAAATCAGTGCCTGACACTAACCCATACTTTATTTTGCCCAAGCTACTTGTTATTCTGTTGGTATTGCTTAAAATTTCCCTTCATGTCATTGCTTATACCATACTTGTGATGTGTTAAAATTGTATGTGGCTTTTGAGGACTTCCTCACCATATACTTCTCCATAAAGCATTTCCCTGTCTCTTGCAGCAAGAAATTATTTTTTGTGGGAGCATTTGAGATCTTGTTTCCCTGAAATCATCTGTTTGGCTCAACTAAACTCTTATAAAAATTCCACACACACAAAAAAAAATAATTTTTGCCTCCTCCAAATACCTCATATTAACTCTTATCATAGACTGCCCACAGCATAGTTATTTGGGAACTTGACTTCTCTCTCTTACCAAACTGCAAGCTCCCCAAGAAAAGAGTCTGAAAATAACACTTACCTTTGCATGTCCTATGGCACATTGCCTAATTTCTTATACATCTAGGTGTTCAGTAAATGTCTGCTGAGTGAATTTTCCTTATGCACAGATGCCTTTCCAATTCAGCTGAGCTGTCTATGAGCAAGTAAAGGTGAAAGTATCTAGTAGTCATAGTAGGGCACAAGTTAATTATATTGTTATGGAAAAAAACCCTTCACATTGAGATAAATCAGAGAGAAATAAATATTAAAGTGGGCCTATGAGTATCTTATCATTCTAACATTTTCACTAATTTACAGCTTTTGACTTAAAACTTTTTAAATAATCTATAGAAGGATAAGATAGATAATGAAATAGATGGAAAGATTAAAATAATGATCTGGAGAGAATAATTTTGAAGAATAAGAATAAATTGAGTAGATATGCAATAATAACTATAATAACTAGAGGAAATAATAACAGCTAACATTTAGAGTGTGTATTATTATAGGCCATGCATTGGGCTAACAGTTCCTTTGTATTTAACCTTTAAACCTCACAACAACTATTGGAGATAGACTTTTTTAAGGTAGTACTATTATTTCCCTCATTTACATGTGAGAAAATAGGCGTGGAGAGGATAAGTAGCTTACTCTACTTACCTTAGTACTTGCCAATAAGTAGTAGAGCCTGGATACAAACCTAGTCTGGCTCCTGATCATAATTTTGCATTGACAGTAAATTTGGGATGTTCACCCATCCATCCATTTAATATACACCAAGGATTATTATATGATAGACACGTTTTGAGTACTAAGAATAAGGAATAAAACACACAGTCTTGTCCTTTAAGGAACTTACAGTCCATTAGAATAGCTAGACCAGGGTTTCCACTGCAACCTGTACTAAAGAATTAACTCTAGCCTGGCTGGTGTGGCTCAGTGGTTGAGTGTAGACCTATGAACCAGGAGGTCACAGTTTGATTCCCGGTCAGGGCACATGCCCGGGTTGTGGGCTTGATCCCCAATGTGGAGCATGCAGGAGGCGGCCAATCAATGATTCTCTCTCATCATTGATATTTCTATTTTTCCCTCTCTCTTCTTCTATGAAATAAAAAAAAGAATTAACTCTTGAAGAGCTACCAAAAAAACCCAGAATGGAAGTATATTAAAGTCGGACGAAATCATATATACAGGTATCAGAGGGTAAACAGAGTATTGCAAATTTGGGAGCTGCTGTACTAAGGTGAAGGTTGATTGAAACTGGTAGACAGAGACTAAATTATGAGGGTCGGCTAATTTGAACTTATATTAAAAGAACCACACTAGAAACATTTGCTTATATTAGTTAGTTGGATTTCATTGACCAAATCAATAGTATTTGATTCCTGCAGTAAGGGTAGGGTGTTGGATTTGGAAAGGGTTGTAAGAATGCTAAATGAAAATAGTTCTTAATTCTTATGAATTTAATTTTCTAGCTCTTTTTCTAGAAAAAAAAATAAGACAAAAGGGAGATTTCAAAAAAAATCTGGTACAATTATTCTATTTTCAATAATTCATTAAATATCTAGGAACTTGCTAATACTATTGAACATTTTACATATGGCTGTTGTAACCACAACTTCATTTGTATACAAAAAAAACATTTAGTTACTTGAAAAAAACTAAATAGTTTTGTAATTTGCTTTTATATTTAGAAGACGGCCAAAAACAAGCTATGGTTAGTGAACGGACAGAAGCCTTTACCACTGCTCGAAATTTATTGGCCTCTGGAGCTGATGCCATTGAACGGATTATGTCTTCATATAAAGAGGTACTTGCATTTCTTGTCAATCTGTGAGATACATGAAAATCAAGCAAAATGCAAATTACCAGATATACTTAGTATTTTGAAAACATATCCTTATCAAAAATTGTAAAGAGGCCCTGGACAGGTGGCTCAGTTGGTTGGAGCATTGTCCTGTACATCAAAAGGTTGCAGGTTCGATTCTCAGCCAGGCACGTAGCTAGGTTGTGAGTTCAATCCTCGGTTGGGGTGGGTACGGGAGGCAACAAATCAATGTTCCTCTCTCAAATCAATGTTTCTCTTTATCTCTCTTCCTTCCTCTCTAAAAATCAATGAAAATATATCCTTGGGTGAGGATTAAAAAAAATTGCGAAGTGTATAATAAAGTTAAGGGAGAACAATTCCCAAATGTATTGCTGCTAATACCCTTTAATTTTGACACTATTGTAATTCCTCTTTTTTCTGTCTATATATGACACATTTGTTTTTAAACTAAAAAGAAAAGTCCTTAGGTGTGGATTCTAGAGACAGTGCCTAAATTTAAATTATTGCCCCAGTATTTACTAATTATGTGAACTTGATCAAGTTTCTTAACCTCTGTGTGTTTCCTCATCTGTTAAATGAAAATAGTGATAGCACTGACTTTTTCAGAAAACAATACATATTATGTGCTGAATAAATGTACTCAATAAAATTATTTATATACCTTGCAAACTTATACTCATTCTTCATGACAAGTTAAACCTCACCAAACACAAATAAATGTGCTTGTGATTCCACCTTCTTCCTACTTTCCCTGTAAAGTCTGGGTCTTCCAGGTCTGTGTTCACAGTACATCTGGTTTTTACCACTTTATAATTGTCTGTCTTCTGCACCAGACCTTGAGTGGAAAGTAGGAACTATCTTACCCATCTTTACATTCTTAATATTCATTTTAATAGTTGGACTATTATATGTGGTCAATAAATATTTGTTGAAGTAATGGTAATAAGACCTGCAGATATGACAGGGTTAAGATTTAAAACCACTTTATTCAATTGAGTTATTACTGATAATATCCCCATGGACAGTCAGTCTCACTATTAATTACTCATGTAACTTTTATATTAATATCAATTGCCAGATCAGCATTATAAATTTAGGTGCCTATTAAATCAGCCTTGAATTAAATTAGCATTTAAAAGAGTTATAAATTTTGTGATTTGCTGACAAAACTTTCAGTTTCATTAAATAATTGAATTGAGTTGGTTGGTTTCTTTTAAACCAACAAAGTAAAACAGTTATTTAGGGCCATATACCAAAACAACTCAATTAAAAATTTTTTTCAAATAGTAATTTTTATAATCTGAGACAGTTTTAGGGATTTTTTATGTAACATATTATGTATCATTAAAATCAAATGACAAATAAAATTTTTATCTCTCTTTCATTAACACTTTGCTATCTAAGTCACAGAAAGAATATCAATTGGTTTTTCTAGATCCTCTCCAACACAGTAAATAATTGCATTTTGCTTTATTCTGCCTGAATGTTCTTTGAGTCATAGAATGGTCACTGCCAAACAATCTTACTACTACTGTGACAGCATATGAAAGTACTATGCATTCTTTGCTAGCTCCAGAGGTAAAAAGGTTCCTTTTTAGAGTCCCTCTCTTGTATTCCAAAGTAACTAACCCACAGTCACATTTTCAGTTTTTTTCAGACACTCTTTGCCCACTCCACCTTGCAACTTGGTCTACTAAGTCATTGCCTCCTGCCTTTCTTTAACTGACCTTTGCATTTGGTTTTGGGTTTTTTCTATGCAAATATATTTACCCAGATTTCCTTTGAATCTGTATTTTGTTAATCTTTAGCTCTGTTTTTCTCTACCTGGAAACTCAAGAAATTCTTCTAGATGACATTTTAGACATTACCCTTTAAATGTTTATAACATTAACATATAGAAATGCAATACTAATCTAATTACAGACTCTCACACACAGTAGAGACATGTGGTAGAGGCTTTTAGCAATAACACCTACTTATTTACTGCTTAATCTTTGCACACACAAAATTCTTACCTAAATGTCAGCATTGTTGAATTATTTCACAATTTATTGTTTAAAAAACATTCATTAGTGGCATGCCTTGCTTATTAGTACCAATTTCCTTATAAACATTTCTGTAAGGAAATGGTTTTTGTGCTTTCCTTTTCACTGAGAAAGATGGTCTTGACAGAAGATGAGTCACATTTTACAGTACTTTGATAACAAGATGTTCTTTTAATAGAAAAACAGCTGGAGAGTCCATCTAAATTGGACAACTGGCCGCATAAAAGCAAGACACTACTGGACTGAAGCAGAGATTTCATCTTGTGTTATTTTACATTCTCTCCTAGAAAAAAAAGTCATATTTAATGTTTTTCTTTGGCCATATAAATCATGCTTTGCCTGAAAATATTGTGAATTGTGGGATTTGGACTGAAAATGATTTAAAGTTTTCATTGAGCTCACTCCCAATATTGGTATCCTCTAGCAGGGGTATTTTCTCTGGCCACGCTTAGGAATTTTGATAATCAATTTGACTCAGAAACATTCCATTTATAATAAGAAAAAAATGTATTTTTCTTCTATTTAAAATCTTCCATTTTAAATTGAAGAAAAAAATGCCAAAATGAAGAATTTTTATTTCCTTGAATGAATTTAAGCTTTTCACAAAATTTTTAATTTTCTGGAAATGAAATTTGTTATGTAAATAGGCTAAATAAGAACTTTGAAAATTTTTTAAGTTTCACTAATATTCTGAAATCTCTCATTTTGAACCCTGACTTGAATGAATAAATTTTAATGTATTTTATAATTCCAATCAATCTTACGTTGACACCTTGCTATGTTGCACGCTCTCGCTTTTGCTCTCTCTCTAAATTGATCTCAGAGAGGAAGGGAAAATGAGAGAGAGATAGAAACATCAATGATGAGAGAGAATCATTGAATGGCTGCTGCCTGCAAGTCCCACATTAAGGATCAAGCCCACAACCCAGGCATGTGCCCTGTGCGGGAATTGAACCGTGACCTCCCTGTTCATAGGTCGACACTCAACCACTGAGCCATGCTGGCTGGGCAGCTATGTTGCTTTCTTGGTAACATTTTTACTGTTACTTGTTTTCATTGTCAGATGTATTATCTATTTTTCATGAATAATAAAATAGGACCTTTGATGTTAAATCAAGAAGCTTATATGAAGGTACATTTATTTAAAGTCTATCTTGGGTATATTAACTCTATATTATTTCTCTGCATTGGTTTTAGGTCACTGAATTAGCAGGCTATACTACTCGAGTGTACAATATGTTTTGGGTATTTGATGAAGTTAATAGAGGCATTTATAAGAGAACTGCTGTTGTGCAAGAATCTGAAAACCATGACAAGAACGGAGCTAATATAGAACTACCTTTCAGTGACACACTGGAAATCAAAGGTTTTAAACTCATTTTTTAATTGCTGACAGTATTGTAGATGTCCCCATTTTTTCACTTTTTGCCCCCTTCCCCCAGCTTCCACCTCACCCTAGGCCTTCCCCAGGCTACTGTTTGTGTCCATGGATTATGCATGTATGCATGTATGTTCTTTGGTTAATCTCTTCTCGTTCACTCCATCCCCCTATCCACTGAGATCTGTCTAAATGCTTTTAGTTTTTTTTATTTTTCTATATTTAAGTGTTTATCAACAGAACCAAAGTTTTTTAGATGATAGCCTTTAATTGTTACAAGGAACCAACATTTAATTATTTAAACAATTATTCCCAAAGTTAGTGTTGCAGTTTGAGGAGTAGTGAATAACATTAGCATAAAAAATTATTATGCTACTTTTATTTAGGACAAAATTTCTAGAATTAATTTTTGAAACTACACATATGGCAGAATGAATTGTTTACTTTTAAGATTAACAGAACTAGAGCTAATATCACATTGTTCTTCATTCTGTGTTTTAAAACTTAAGTTTGGTTGTCCTATTTTTTAAAATTGTGTTATTCTGTGTCTTAATTCCTTGTTGCAGGACTGTGTTTATTCAGAAGAAAGGTTAACTTAGAGAAATAGTGGTTATAAAGACTATGGGTAGGTTACATCAGCTAGAGTTTGGCTTTGCTCTCATGATTTTGACATCAGATTATTGCAAAATAAAATTTCCGATAGAGATTTTCTAAATAGATGTGTCAAAATATCCCAGTATGCATTACACTTTGCTTTAAATATAACATATATATTTCCATTTATTTCTATGATTTATAACTATGAAGTTATAAAAATACTTAATTAGCAATAACATGCGATGACTTTTGTAACTTAAAATGTTCCTTAACTCACAGGAAAAGTTATTGATGTGGATCATGGAATTATTTGTGAAAATGTTCCCATAATTACACCAACGGGAGAAGTGGTGGCTTCCAGTCTAAACTTCAAAGTAAGATGATATTCAAGAATCTTCTGATTGTTGCCATCACACTAATACAAAACAACTCAGAATTCATGTACCTTATGTTAAATACTTGGAGGAGCATGTGCACAGGAGGGGAAATCAAGAAAGGTATGCACAGTGGCTCAATTCCAGAAGCAGTTACTTCCTCAGAAAGCAGAGAAAAAGAGAAATTTGATTCCTATTGCTTTATTGTCAGGTTATATATCAAAATTGTAGTGCACTGAGAGCCTTTGCTAGGTAACTTTTGAGAGCAGTAGAAAACTTCCTCAAAAATTAATATCTGGAAATAAATTTTATTTTTTTTTCTTATAGGAATTACTCAAAAACTACAAGCCTGAATTATAATAAATTTACTAAAATATGAGGTTAAAGGTCATTAGCAGGTTTACTCCTGTTATTACAGATTCTCTAAATTTAATTGTGTTTTAAATAATCACATCTTCTGTTAGAAAAAAATCAGATTTGTGGATTGGAATTTAGTTTCTAATAACTCTGTTGAGAATAAGAGTTATTATTTAATATTTTACGTCTTGATGATGTAAAAACAGTCAATAAACCTAAGGCCTTTATTTAAAGCACTGTAAAATTCAGATATTTTAGAATTTAGGTACAAAATAATTTGCTCATAAGCATTAATGACTGCAATGAAGGCATAAGAGCTTTAGTCCAAACAAAGAGACGATTGGACTTGATAACAGAATTACAAACATGACAATAATTGTGCTAAATGCTTTTAGTATGGACTTTGTAGTCAAGTTTTAATTCTTAAAAATGGTATTTACCAATGAATAAGGGAGCAGGAAAAGAATAAGTATTGAACAAGGGAAATTCTGTGTTAATAAATGTAAGAGAAATTGTGTTTTAACTACAATTGATGAGGCTTTACTTTTCCATTTATAGACCTATAGAGTTCTTTAATTATTTGGATCTGAGCATGATACCAATTAGGTGCCAAAGGTGCACCATAATCTTAAATAAATTTGAAATAAAACATTTGAAGAGGCATACATAGAATATTTAATTACTTATTAGTAGTTCAGCAATTTATAATTTATAACTTTTTGTATAGAGATTTTCTTTCTCTTTTTTTGGTCAGGTTTGGTTTATTTTTTTCTTTATTATTATTATTTTTTATTAAATGGGGTGACAATGGTCAACATGAACAGATAGGTTTCAGGTGTGGGTTTCTATGTTCAAGATCTGTATATTGCAGCGTGTGCCCACCACCCAAAGTCAGATCTTCTGCTGTCACCTTCTATTAGGATCCCCTTCTCCCCTCATCCCCTCCCCTCTGACAACCAGCACACTGCTGTCTGTGTTCACAATTTTCAGTTTTATATCCCACATATGAGTGAAATCATATCATTCTTAGCTTTTTCTGACTGACTTATTTTACTTAGCATAATATTCTCAAGGCTCATGCATGTTGTTGCAAATGGCACTATTTCATTCTTTCTTAAGTCTGAGTAGTTTTCCATTGTGTATATGTACTACATCTTCTTTATCCAGTCCTCTATCGTAGAACACTTTGGTTGTTTAAGTTCATAATATCAATTTTTATTGTTACACTTATTAAATAGAGTAAGAGTCTTAAATTCTGCCACCTACTAATTATATAATTGTGGACATCACCCTCTTTCTTTTCTTTAATATATTTTTATTGATTTCAGAGAGGAAGGGAGAGGGAGAGATAGAAATATCAATGATGAGAGAGTATCATAGATCAACTGCCTCCTGCACGCCCCCTACTGGGGATCGAGCCCACAATCCGGGCATGTGCCCTTGACAGGAATCGAACCTGGGACTCCTCAGTCTACAGGCTGGTGCTCTATCCACTGAGCTAAATCAGCTAGGGCCATCACCCTCTTTCTGTAAAAACTTGAGCTCAGTTTATTTTTATATGAAATAAATTTTTAAATAATATAATACAAGTGTTACATATTTTAAAGTGCTACAAAGATGTTATTATAGTACACTTTTATAATAATTTTTTATTTTTTACTCAGGCAGGAAGTTTTATTTGAAGTCTCAGGTCCCTAAAATATAATAGAAAGTTGTTTCCTTTTCATGGATTGACAAACAGGTTTTTAAAGGAAAAGGTTCTCTTTTGTTGGCCTTTCAGAATTTAAAAAACAACAACAAACATTTGGAGAATAAAATTTAATAAATGTGGGAATTCTTTTTTAATTTTTATCAATAATTTTTATTGATTTCAGAGAGCAAGGGAGAGGGAGAGAGAGAGAGAGAAACAGCAATGGTGAGAGGGGATCATTGATTGGCTGCCTCCTACATACCCCATACTGGGGATTGAGCCCACAACCCATGACTTCCTGGTCCATAGTTCAAAGCTCAACATGTAGTCAGCCAAACAAGGAATTCTTTATACTCCATAATGTCTGTGTGCTAAATATCAGAAAACATGCTAAAAATATAAATGTAGTAAAATCTCCTATTATGACTCAAAATGCGTTACATTTCTAAGAATTCCTAACAGAGGATGACCCTATTAAAATATTTTGTGAGCCATAACTGGTTTGGCCCAGTGGATAGAGCGTCAGCCTGCGGACTCAAGGGTCCCAGGTTCGATTCTGGTCAAGGGCATGTACATTGGTTGCGGGCACATCCCCAAAGGGGGTGTGCAGGAGGCAGCTGATCAATGTTTCTCTCTCATCGATGTTTCTAACTTTCTATCCCTCTCCCTTCCTCTCTGTAAAAAGTCAATAAAATATATTTAACTTTTGTTTTATTTTGTGAATGTGCCTTTTGCCATGACAGGTACTTTTAAAAACATCATTTGCGAAGTATTTATGCTTCTACAACATTTAACTTCCTTAGTCCTCTTTCTAGTCAAAGAGCACAGCAAATCACAAATTAATTCTTTCTGGGTTTTCCCCCAGGATCTTCCTTTGAACTTTATTTTATCAAAATAGCATTTTAGTTTGGTTACAATTAAAGAGAAAAAATCTATATATTTTTAGAAAAATATCTGTAGATTTTGTAGTCTCAAGCTTGCTTCTATCTTATATCCTTGTGATGGTATCTTTGCTGCTTAGAATGCTCTTCCCCCAGATCTGACTAGTTGCTTCTCATCACCCAGGCTCAGCCAAAATGTTACCTCCTCAAAGAGGCCTTTTCTGACCACCTAGTCAAAAGAAGCCCCCACACCAGACTCACAACGCCACCATCTTTCTATAATAAACTTTCTTATTTTGCTGTCATCCTAGCATTTATCACTACTTAATTTTTATTCATGTTCTTATTACTTTTTTTTCCATTGGAATGTAAGTTCTATGAGAACAAGGACGTTGTCTTGGCCATCACTGTAACCACTATGCCTAGAAGAATGTCAGGCACATGGTAGATATTCAAACAATGTTTGGCAAGGAAATGTCTAATTATTTAGACAGAATATGAATCTGAACCATTTTTGCTTTACATATACTTATTATATACATTCCTAGTTCCTTTATCTAACCTCCATCCCAATCCTTCTTTTTTCTTTCCCTTCCCCCCTTCCTTCCTCTCCCCACTACCTTCTTTCAACAAAAAGATTTCAGCTTATAGTATACACAGCCAATGAGTCAAGGATAGACATTGAACTGGTTGGTCCTTTATACTGACATAATGCAAATAATATGCTCTTTCATTTTTGAGTTTTCAATATGATGTATTCTACATCATTGATGCTTGGATATTTGTATCCATACTATACAAAGATATAGCTACACATATATTGTACTTTCTTCCTCTCATACTTTCATACTATATTCATTTTTAAATCACTAATTAAAAATATGGTTGTTCGTAGAAGTAGATGACACTTTTAAATGGTGTTTCTTTTCCTTGTTCTTCACAATACCCTTTGAATACCACATTAAGGTAACTTCCCAATCCTGAGTAGAAAGGTAACTCATGATATTTAAATGTTTAAATTTAAATGGTAAATAAGATGAGCGATTCTAAAGAGAAATGTCCAATCAATAATGGATAACTTTTGTTTTATTGTTATACCTATATAACTGTGTGTATATATATGTATACATGCACACACATATATAAAACATATATATGTATATTATATGTGTGAATATATATATATTAATGCATCCCTAGACAAAAGACTAAATTACAACCCTCTTGTTTTCTTCTGTCTCGGTTTAGTAAACATATTTTATTTATCTTTGAATAAAGCAGAACTGGAATAAATTTCTCTCTCTGATTATGAGCTTTGTGATTTCTGTAACATTTCAGACTGCTGAAGTACAAAATTAAACAACCCAGCTGGCTCTTAGAATAACTGTGTTTTATAGCTAATAACTCCAACCGACAAATACAATGAAGTTGTATTTTCATTCAATATAAAATTAAATAAATATTAATATAAATAAAATGAAATTGAATGTATTTTAATTTAAATTTTAACAGTGTCGTATTTTCCATGTGGTTATGTTTCTACATATGTGATAGTATCTGATTACAAGGCCCCAGTTAAAATTTTGGAAAGCCAAATGCTCATTTCAAGAAGATTCATTGTCTTTCAGATTGGATTAATTTATAATACTTTTAGCTTCAGAGCATAGTCCAAGCCAACTTTGAGGGTGTTGATTCTGATTTATTTTTCTTTGAATCCTTGCCCATCCTAGGTTATCATGTGTTTGAAATGTGTGTTTTTTTAATAAATCACTTTTAAATGCTGCCAAAGAAATTATTTTGCAGTTTGTAATTTTATTTCTCACTTTAGGTACAAGAAGGAATGCATCTTTTGATTACTGGTCCCAATGGTTGTGGGAAGAGTTCTCTCTTCAGAATTTTAAGTGGGCTCTGGCCTGTGTATGAGGGAGTCCTCTATAAACCCCCTCCCCAGCATATGTTCTATATTCCACAGAGGTAGGTAAAATCTTTTATAGTACAAGAATCAATTTTCTTTACTTTTTAATTCTCTTGATTCCGTAGGCTCTTCAGTTTGTAATCTTTAAGCATGTTTCACTAGAGAAGCTATTAAGGAAATAAAAATTAAGTTCTAAAAGGGACAATGCCACTTTCAGGACAGTATCACTTCTGTTCACTTTAACATTTGACTGGATATAATGAACATTCAAAGGCTATAGATGTTAATGTCAAGGAATAACAGGCTAGCCCAAAGAATAATTAGATCACCTTAGATGTCAGATTATCTCTTCTCACAGAAAAAATTGCACTTGGATAGTATACTAATCCTTTCATCAAGCTGCTTACATTCCTATGTTCTAAAATTGTTCAGTTATGTTTAAAGAGCCTCTATAAAATAGTTTTTGTTACATTTATGCTGTATGATTAATTAATGATTTGAAAATATGCAAAGTAAGCATAGAAATATTAAAAAGGAACATTATTCTGAAGTTTTTAGTCATCTTCATAAAAAAATTTAAAAATATCTAAACACAAAGTTATACTTGCAAATTTGCATCATTCATTGGGAATAAGAGCAAATGAAATCTGAAGAAGAAATATACCTTATACTCATCTGACCCAGTAATTTTTCCATCTATCCTCACCCTGGGTTAGGTAGATAACACAGAGTACTCTTATTATATTAAGAGGACTATTGTGTGGAAGCCAGTAGAGCACCCAGGGTATAGTACCTGAGAAAATATAAATGTTACATGATGTATGGTGCTATCACATGTTTCCTTTGCCCCTTTCTCTTTGTCAGAAAGTGTTTGTACCATCCTGCCCACGGGTCTAAATTTTAGACCATATGTTATAGTTAGGCAGATGAGGTTTTGTGGAACTTTTTGTTTCAAGTAAGATCTATGGTAGTAGCAGGAAGCTACCTGACATGGAAGAGGATGAAGAAATGCATTGGCAGTAAGAAAATATTGGGTATAAGCAATATCATGGATACTCATGTTTAACAGAAAATAGATGACCATCTGTGACACCAGAATCATTTTCTTGTTTTGTCTGTACCTTAAAGTCCTTTGGGAAACCTTCTGAAGCAGAAAGCTAAATTATACCCCCAAAGTTTAAGTTTCAGACATTATTGTATTATGTAGACTGATTCTAATTTTTTATTTGAGGAAAATATTGTTATACCATAGAATTCTACTTTCTTAATAAAATTATGTACATAAATCTTACATTTTTAGCTATTTTAAATTTCATATGTAAATTGAAGGATACAGTTCTCAAATATAGCTGTGACCTAAGCAATATAAGACAGTCCAAAGACATAGGAAAGTACATAATCCACGGAATCATCCTTCAGAACTGAAGGTGAAATAAGGACTTTCCCAGACAAAAGCTGAGGGAATTTGTTCACTAGACCTGCCTTACAAGAAACGCTACAAGTTCTTCAAACTGAAATGATAGGATGCCAATCAGTAACATGAAAATATACAACATACTGATAAAGGTAAACATATAGTCAAATTCAGAATACTGTAATATGGTGGTGTGTTACTCACTTAACTATTAGTATAAAGGTTAAGGAACAAAAGTATTAACAATAACTATAACTAGTATAATTTGTTAATGAATACTTTATATAAAAAGAAGTAATTGCCACTTAAAAACATAAAAGGGGGAGAGTAAAATGGTAGAGGTGTTTGTATTCAATAACAAATTATTATTGTAAAACAGACTGTTATAAGATGTTTTATATAAGCCTCATGGGAACCATAAATCAAAAGCATGTAGTAGATTCACAATAGGTCAAGAGAAGGGAATCAGCACATACCACTACAGAAAATCACCAATTCACAAAACAAGGCTGCGAAGAGGAAGAAAGGAAAAGAGAAGTACAAAATAGCCAGAAAACAAAAAAATGGGATTAATAATTCCTTAACTCTAATAATTACTCTAAATGTAAATAGACTGAATTCTCTAACAAAATCCAACTGTATACTACCTACAAGAGGTTCACTTCAGCCTAAAGGACAAACATAGACTGAAAGTGAAGGGATCCAAATATATTCTATGCAAATAGAAACCAAAGGAGAGCAAGGAGAGCTATTTTTAGACAAAGTAGACTTTAAGCCAAAAATGGTAACAAGAGACAAAGAAAGTCGTTATATAATGATAATGCGATCAAGTCATCCAGAATATATAATAATTGTAATATGTACGGACCCAATATCAAAACACCTTAATATATTAAGCAAATACTAACAGATCTGAAGAAAGATCATTGGGGACTTCAGTACCCCACTTTCAATATTGGATACATCATCCCAACAGAAAATTAACAAGGAAACATTGGACTTGAACCATACTTTAGACAGAATAGACCTAACAGACATATACAGACATTTCATCCAACAGCAGCACAATACACATTCTTCACAAGAAAAAGCATTTGACAAAATAAAACATGGTTTCATGATAAAAAAAAAAAAACTCTCAAAAAAGTGGGTATAGAAGGAACATACCTGGACATAATAAAAGTCATATGCCACAAACCCACAGCTAATATAATACTCAACAGTGCCAAGTTGAAAGCTAGGAACAAACCAAGGATGCCTACTCACAGTCTTGTTCAACATAGCACTGGAAGTCCTAACTGGAGTGATCAGGCAAGATAAAGAAATAAAAGACATCCAAATCATAAGGAAAGAAGTAAAATAATCTTCATTTGCAGATGATATGATCTTACATATAAAAAATGTTAAAGTCTCCACCAAAAACATTTAGAACAGATTTAGTAAGTTCTATGATACAAAATCAACATACAGAAATCAATCATGTTTCTATGCACTAGCAACAAACTATCTGAAAAGGAAAGGAAAAAAAGAAAACAGTCCCATTTATAATAGCATCAAAAAACAAAAAGTTCATCATCATACATCTAACTAAGGAGGCGAAAGGTCTATACATTGAAAACTATAAGACTTTAATGAAAGAAACTAACAAATGGGAAGATACCCCATTTTCATGGATTGTAAGAATATTGTTAAAATATCCATACTACCCAAAGCCATTTATAGATTCTGTGCAATTCTAATGTCATTGTTGACAGAAATACAAAAAACAAAACTAAAATTTGTGTGAAACTACAAAAGACCCGAATAGTAAAAGCAATCATGAGAAAGAAGAACAAATCCAGAGATATCACACTTCCTGATTTCAAACTACACTATAAGCTTATAGTCATCAAAACAGTATAGTACTGGAATAAAAAATAGACATAAACCAGCGGTTCTCAACCTGTGGGTCAAGACCCCTTTGGGGGTCAAACGACCCTGTCACAGGGGTCGCCTAAGACCATCCTGCATATCAAATATTTACATTACGATTCATAACAGTAGCAACATTACAGTTAGGAAGTAGCAACAAAAATAATTTTATGGTTGTGTCACAACATGAGGAACTGAATTTAAAGGGACCGAAGGTTGAGAACTACTGACTTAGACTAATGGAACAGAATTGAGGGCCCAGAAATAAACACCTGTCAGTTAATATTTGACAAGGGAGCCAAGTCTACTTAATTAAGGAAAGATGGTCTCTTCAATAAATGATGCTGGGAAAATGGACAACCACATACAGAAAAATGAAATTGTTCCCCTATCTTATACCACTATCAAGAATGAACTCAAATTGATTCAAGACTTGAATGTGAGACCTGAAACCATAAAACTCTTAAAAGAAAACATAGGAAATAAACTCCTTGGCATTGGTCTGGGCAATTATTTTTTGCATATGAAACCAAAAGCAAAGCAACACAAGCAAAAAATCAGTAACTGGGACTACATCAAACGGAAAAGCTTCTGCACAGCTAAAGAGGCAATAAAAATAAAAATAAAAGCAACAGCAACCCACAGAATGGGAGAAAATATTTGCAAGTCTTATGTCTGATAGTGGTTTAATATCCAAAAAAAAATAAAGAAGTCGTATAACTCACATCTATATATATAATGGAATATTATTCAGCCATGAGAAAGAAGGAAATCCTGCCGTTTGTGACAACATGATTGAAATTTGAGGACATTGTGCTAGGCAGAATAAGTCAGACAAAGACAAATGCTGTGTGATAGCACTTATATGTGTAATCTAAAAACTTTGAACTTGTAGAAACAGAGATATGAAACTTTAATACTAGGGTCTGGAGAGTGGGGGTAGAGGGAGATGTTGATCAAGAGTTAGAAGATATGTAAGTTCTAGAAATATAGTGCACAGCATTATGATTACAGTTAACAATGACATATTATATATGTGGAAGTTATTAAGAAAGCGTATCCTCAGTGTTCTTACCACAAAAAAAGAAATGGTGAGGTGACAGAGGTGTCAGGAAGCACAAGGTGGTAACCATTTTGCTATATATGTGTATCCAATCAACATGTTGTACATCTTAAACTTATATAATGTTATGTGTCAATTTGATCTTAATAAAATTGGAAAAATAAAGAAAAAATACCACTGAACTGTACACTTAAAATGGTTATGATGCAAATTTTATGTTATATGTATTTTACTACAATTGTTTAAATGCGGGGGGGTGGGGGGGGGAGTCGTAAGAAAGTGCATAAATCCAGTCCTTGCCCTCAGAGAAACCTAACTGTTATTTTGCAACAGACATAAATCACTGGGAAATTTTTTCTTAGTTATGAAATTTACTCTTGCCTAAGCAAAAGGTCAACTACAACTTAGTTAAGGAGAAAAATGAAAAGTGTTTTTGAAGACTAACAATTTTTCTTAAAAATTACTGTTAAAGGTCATTTTATCTTGATTACATAACTTTGGAAACATGACAATGTGTGTTTATGTTTAGAATCTTATATCTTGCAGAAAAGCATAGAATTTATTTAAATGTACCTGTAAGCTAAGTGTCTAAATGTAGCATTTATTTTTATATTCCAAAAGCTGCTGAGTTTTTTAAGTAAATTTGAAAATAATTTTATAAGTTTTTATTA